TCGATGATGGGCTACAAAGCCAGCTTTCGATTTGCAGCACTTGCCACATTCCTCACACGTGAACCCAACGAGTCTCTCCTGTGTACTGGTTGGAACTGGTGCGGAGGCGCCAGATGATTCGTAGTATACATTGTCGAAAGTAACCAGCACATTGAAACCAAACGGGGTGGTTGGCCCTGTCTGGAGTTGCTGAACTCTTAGCTCACCCAGACTGACGTCCAGGCTACCCGGTCGGCACCACGAGGAGGTGGTTCAGCTCGCCAACGATATGCGTTAGCATAGTTCTTGTGGTACAACCACACAAGTGATTTCACATGAACCTCTAAAGAACCTCAGCGAGTGCTGGTTTTCGGAGGCCAGGGGTTCTTTCTTCAACGGACAAATGGATTGGTAATGCATTTTCATTTCTGCAGTTGAGCTAAAGTCAGAACAAATCGCTCGGCATAACTGCCATGCAACTACGCGGAGCGCGAGGAATGAAGTTCAGCCAAGCTGCTCACATCGAGAGGGGGAGCGGTCGAATAGAAACCTGGCGTTCTAGCACTAGGTCAACTTATTAGGGTACCATTATCTGGTGTACCTCCTTGGGGCGAATTTCTTATTCTGAAGCATGGGTTAGAACGGTCGACTAGTGCAACCCTCAGGAACTTGATACATCTGAACTTTACCCTACGGAAAACGAAACTCTCCCATTTACCAGACAAGCTACGTCCAAAAACAGCAAAATATATGATTCACCCAGCCACTGAATAATGGCTAACCACCTGTATGCGTCTCATGAATAATGCGGACCAACAGAACATCCTTCGTATATGCAATCGATTTCGATTGTTCAGTCGTGCCTAACTGAACTGACATTCATGGGCCACCAGCTGGACGCACTGATGACTTCAGCACTGCCCTCTCCTGCCCACCCTCCGTTCTTATTTCCTGGATTTTACACCGCATGCAGAGTTCAGTTGGCCATACACGCGGTCCATAGCAAACCACGCGTGATATTACCCATGGTACACTTGGTTCCATCGACTTAGTTCGACGTGATAGGTTAATCCTAAACCAGGCGTTAGTCCACCATACGGTTTTCCATCTCAAAACACGCAAGTCAGAGGACGCTCCTCAACACAGTCCGCATTTTCTCCGCTTTCTTTAGGGTGGCTGTGTTCGTTCAAGTAGGGTGCACAACATGTGGATTGAAAATGAAGGCATTTCATCTCCAATATGGTAGCATGTACGTGTGTGTGCCTTCATGAATCCTCACTTTGGATTCTAGTGGTTGATCAGGCGGTCGTTGAGTTGTTCAACGAGCTTGGCAATTGGCTTGTAAGCATTTTTTCTCTAGTTGAGGAGACATTCTCAATGCGTAGTTGAAACCTACTCAGCTGGATTCAGATCAAATTAGTGTGCAAAAGAGGGTGTTTGGCGAATAAATACATCTCGATAAGTTGTGCACGAAATTCACCCCTACTATATGTTTGGAAGTTTCTTTGTGCTTCGTTTGTCCAGATTACCTCAAACAAGTGTGAGAGGATAGTGTGGATCAAAAAAACACGGGATGGCAAACAGATATAGCGGGCTTCCACATCTCTAGCGGAGTAAAGATGGGATGCAATCCTTGCGGAAGGCGAGGGACGTAACGTAAAAGCATACCATTCGATTGAAGCGCGTGTTCTTCATTCAGGTGACTCAAATCAAACGTAACACTTTGCTCTGTTGCTCTATTTGTTACATGTTTCAATTAGAAGCTACATGCACGGCTCATTTTAATTAACCGCGAACCTATGGTTTGGAAAACCAATAACTAATATGTCCATACAGGTGGAGAACCTATTTTGGTTCTACAGTCTTCTTACCTTTGCATTGATATGCAGCGTATATCAATGGCCGTCGCTCGTTTTCCGAAACGATTCTTGCTTATCAAACAAACAATTTTTGGCTTAAATAAAAATAAACGACGACTAGCGAAATACACTCATTTGCTAACTAATTTGGTTTTGTGAGGCTTCAACTGGAACCCAGCTGAATCTCTCGCTTGTGATGTTTTAAGCGGAACATAAGGTTGACGAAAACTCGGACGCTGCGCGCCCCAAGAAGGGCGAAACCGGTTGTAGGCTGTTGAAGAATTTTCAGCAACCTTATGAGTAGTGCATTACGAAAAAACGACAACCATTTATAAGTATCCAATGTACAACTTTCTAACGAGCTTCATCTTGAAGGATAGGGGTCTCTATCAACCACTACCGAGCGACGGGATAGTATAGTGATCGGCTTCCCCGGGCCACTTGCTTGAAATAACTTGATCTTTCCTCCAAGAGCGAGAAATAGTCGTGAGTGCATCGTCTGAGCAACATGAGTGATGGCCTGGTTAACCAAGGAGCATGACAAAAAAAGCACTTTCTCTCATTAGAGGAAATATGCCGAATTATCACTCACATCATACATCCGGGTGACAAGTGGTATGATGTCCACTTCTCCTCCTGAGGGCGCATCACCACCATCAGCAGCAGTGGCATTAATGTTCAAACATTAGCGCTTCACTGTCTTGAGAGTGTGAATCAGAGATGGTGGCTTGAGAACAATATTTTCCACATGCATATGCGGCCGATCGGTGCTGTTCAGCTGTAACACTTTGCCTGGCTGCCATGCTACCGGAATGAATGGTGTGAGAGGTAAACAAGTCCCTTCTAACAAATTAAGGGCGTTGGATGAGGCATGTACCGTTCAGCAGTTGAAGTAATGCGAGGGCACACCCAACCAAATGAAATTCTTCCGCTTAAACGCCTTCCGAATTTACACAAGCCCAGTCACGCGATCATTTTCCAGTCACTTAAGAGGAAAAGGTAAAATTCATCTAACCCCCCACTCCACTGGTGCTGGCACAAAGTGCTAAACCAGCCCTCAATCAATGGGGGTTTGTGACTATGGCTCACCAAACAGAGCAGATCTCTGGTGTATATGCAATCGCCAACAAACTCCTGGGCGTTAGTAGTAGGCTTGGCACATTTGTTCCGCTATATGGGCCGACATACACAGAGCAGATTACCGAGTCCCAAGTAGTAGCATATTTCCGCCTTGCTCTTGGGGCTCCCTGAAGATTCGCTTGGACAACTGTGGGCAGAACACAATAAATTCGCACCCGATTAGGTTTTGTTCAACCAGTGGATGCAGCCATTTAGGATACTACTCAAAAGGTGGCTTGAGAGTAAACACTCCATACGGGGAATTCATCGTTGCGTTTTGGGACTTGCGTCACCTGTAAGATACATACAACAATAACTTTTTGGCTCTACAAAAGTGCATTCTCTGGAAAGAACGTTTCATGTCGGGTTTCTATGGTGAAGGTCCTGTCTGTTCGGATAAGCAATAAGCGAGGATTCTCTCACGCACAGCGGGTCTAACAATAGGTAGAGAGTTTACGGGTGCCAGAAGTGATCGGAAACCGACACACAGTATGAGGCACATCTACTCAAAGGCGATGGCGCAACTAGCGATCGTTAGTCCAGTCACACCGTCAAACAGTCAAAAAGTCTATACAGCCTAGTGTCAAGGTGGGCTTCCAGGATCGCGTACTTACGGCTAGAGTTCATGCGTACAAGGTGTTCGGAAAAGTGGCGGTGCAGGAGAGACTTCAACTCCAAAATTACAAGAGTTTTGAACGCTCAGAATTAGCCGAGTTTGAGATGAAAGAAATTCACGTTAGCTGCGATCACTAAAAACACTACCCACTCAAAGTTTGGTGCGCTCATTAAAGCTCACCTCATGGGCTTATAACCAGCTACCAAGCGGCCAGTTGTTGACCTGATCACTGATCACACCTGCGGTGAGTATTTGGCCACTTTTTGGAACCTAACGTCATCTGTTATCAGGATTGATAACCATCTGGGGTACACGAACTAGCCATTTCCAAGTAGTGAGAGTTAGTGTTGCTAAGCACACAGAAGGAGGTGCCCTACAAGGACGTCTGTAGTGGCTATGTTGGAGACTACTATGAAAAGTGGAGTCTTATGAGCCCACTAGGCAAGAGGTTATAAATAGCTAGTAAGGCCATTTGTTCGCATACACATTCCGAACAAGGGGGTAAGTGACAATGTGAGGTGACCCAAAATATGTTCAGTTAGAAGTGGGAAACGGGGTTCAAAGTATCCATTTTGATGTCGCTTTAGATACCGATAAATGGTTGAGAGGAACAAAATGGTTGCTCTCAAAGAATTGGTTGACATTCAGCTGTGTGTCGGGCTATACGCTCTATCAACAGGCGGGAACTGATCAATATACAACTCTGTAGACAGTCCGCGGGAGAAAACAACTTGGTTCCTCCAGGTCCACACAATCTGCTAACTGTTTCAGGTGACCACAGAAAAAAAAGATTTTCTGTGGAAGATACTATGAGGAAATCAGTGGGCATCTAAGCAAGGACTCTTGCGTACGACATCCGCAACGTAGCTCGTACACAGCACAACTTGTGGCTATCTGACCATCACCACACTGTGACTTTCATCGCAGGCTCTACATGGACTTTTGGTGACAACCAGTTTTTCATCCACTTATGACCTCGGTACATTCTCAAGTCAAATAAACTTTAGTAAATTTCCCCAGCAGTCTTCTTGGGGAGAAATACAACCTACCCATATGGCGAATATTTTGAGATGGGTAATCCTGACCAGACTAACCGTACTATTAACCAAGAGACCTGCCTATTTGCCGGTGTGTGTGTAAGTTGGCATGGAGTGAAGTACCCTCCGACTGAATCATCAGACAACACCGGCACAACATTACTGAAGCTTTCGATCGCATCATCATCATCAGAGGCAGAAACATCAGTGTTGACACTGATGCTCCACTGCTTTCAATAGTTCACATCCCGGTTATTATTACCCGTTTATTTGAATGTCCCTAAGAGATTGGTTGATAAACATGCAGCATCAATGAACACAGGCAAACACAATGGAATGAATGAATGAACAAACATTAGAAGTCTCAAAATGTTCAAGTTAGCCAACAAAATATTGCTAGTGTTCGACGCCAGCAAACATTTTATACATAGAACACTGAAAAGACTCACCAAAAGCATACACGAAGGAGATTAGCAATCAGAAGTGTCAGACACACGTATGTGGAGAAACCTTTGATGCTGTGTAGACGTCGTATTTCCATATACTGTGGCACGTAAGGTACAATACCTCCGAATATGTAAAACAAGATGTAAACGTAGCGTGCAAGTTCCTTCATCTCATCTGCCTCGCCAGGCACAATAAATTTGAGCTGTGTGGTGGAAGAAGAGGATAAAGAGGTCGATCAAGTCGAATTCTAAATGTTGAAGTTAGAGCATAAAGTCAGATTAATTTATCAGAGACGTATTACTTCAACTGCAACACTTGAAGATCACCATTTTCTTCCACAATAACAGGAGTTTTCCTGCGGCACGATAAAGCCAGATTCATTGGAGAACCGGGTATCAGATAGAACGGTTCCATCGCTTGAATTTCGAAGAACTGTTCCCACTACTCCTCGTCATAACCGAAACCAGCGAATTAGTGGATATTAGGTGAAAATTAATTTAAAAGACCATGAACTCGAGATAGCTCGGCGGTTATTCAGCGGAATTACTAGAAGTTTCGAACCCAAGCCCGGCACATCGACTAGTCCTGTCTAAGCTTGGGTATCCTGGCAGTATCATGGCACTTGTGCATCCTCCGAGTGTCCCACCAGCTGGATAGTGAAAGGGTGTTACGGCTGAATAATTCTTGCTATTTAGTGTTGCCAACTGTGAAGTCCGAGAGACAGGGAAGGCTAAGAAAATGGGACAGGTGAAGAATTCCGGGAATACCCAAAGTTTATTTTGGTTGATCTGGGCGACCGGTTCCGGAAACCACCGGTGAGAGAGGCTAACAAGGCGCGATCGTTTTCCGGAAAGAAGTACGCCCTAACTGCTAAACCGAAAACTTGGAGCAAAATTTTTGTGACCAGCTGCTACCACTCGGTTAGAATTTGGAACTGTACTGGGAGCCCCTAGGTCCTCAGAATTTACGCCCGCAGATGTTCTCCAAGACGCTACCGAGCTTCTGGTCCGGATGACCTCCTACTTGCATTGTTCAAAGATGTGAGTGAAAT